CTGGCCAGAGGTTCTCTCAGGAGCTCTGGGGCATGCAGACCATGGTTTTAAAAATGGAGGTGATAGAAAGTTCTAGAAATGCTTCCCCCACTTTTTTGGTGAAGAGTTAGGGTCTCACTCTGTGGCCCAGGCTGGCCTTAAACTCCTGGGCTCAGCCTCTCAGCAGCTGGGGCTCTAGGCGTGCGCCACCACATCCAGCTGTGGTTTTATTCAGCAAAAAGGAACCTTGTTCCATGACTTGGAAGAACACTGCTGGCTTCTAAAGTACTTTCTGCACAGCATTTGGTTCTTCCTGTAGGATTGCTGTTTGCACCTCACAGAGCTCCTCGTTATAGGCCCATGTAGCCGCGTCTCTGTGCCTGTCACCCCTGCAGGCTGACAGGGGTGAGCTGCTCTGTCACCTGCCGCCAGCCGACTCCCCGCACACAGCGCACACAGCAGTGTCAGACAGCAGTACAGTTCCCTTGCGCTTCCTCTGGTCAAGGTTCCCAGGAATGGCTTCGCCTGCCTGGATCTGATTCTGGATCTCTCCCGGGCTGCAGTTACCTGGAGGGTCCACTTCTAAGGTGGCTCATTCACAAGCCAGGCAAGGTAGTGCCAAGTGTTGGGCACAGGAGTGTCCTCCCAGAGTGACACTCCTGCCCAGTGAGGGATCCAAGTGAGCGAAAGGCATACGTCAGGCTGTGGTTCTGCAGGAGGCTGCGTATTGCCCCCGTCCACCCAGGGCCCACTGGGGGAGGGGACTGCACGAGGTAGAAGCACTGGGGTCTTCCTGGCTGTCCTGGAAGCCACTGCCACAGCTGTCACTCTCTTGGTCACCCTTTGTTGCTCCCTGGTGCCCAGCAGTGCTGTGGGATTGGGGTGTGCACTCTGCATACATAGCTTCTGATGAGACACGCCAAAAGAATTAGAAAAAGGCCTGGTGTCCAAACTGCTAGGACAGTTTCCTAATCTGAGGTTTTGTGTTACTCTAGGAAGCGTTTAGTAGGGTTCTTTTAACATATGCATTTAGAATAATTTCGCTTGGGAAAGCCTTTTGAATCAGGAAGATGAGTAGGCAAGCAGAAAAGCAGAAATTTTGTTAACAAATACTCCTTTGCTAGTTCTGTAAGTGGATTTAGTCTAAATCTGCAGGTTTCTTTTAGTTTATCTCATTGTACCTTATGTGTGTCATTCCCCAACATGGGTTTTATTTTGGGGGGAGGTGTTTACTGGTGTTTGACTCAGGTGTGCTTTGCCTACCTGCTGAGCTACATCCCTGACCCTTTTTATTTTATTTTGAGATGGAATCTTGCTAAGTTGCTTAAGAGTGGCCTTGAAGACTTGTGATTCTCTTGCCTCTGCCTCCCAATGGTTGGGATTACAGACATGCACCACCATGCCCGACCCCAAGTGGATTTGAAAATTATAGTTTTTCAAAGTTCATCAGTGAGAATTTAGGTTCCCATCACGGGAAAAAATATTACATTGTCCTTGTGTTCTTTGAATTTGTGTTCTAAGACTAGCTCACAGTTAGTTAATATATTAGAGATGATTTTTGTTTTGAAAGTTACAAGGAGATTGTATCCCATTGCAGTTTTGGTAATTAAAGCCAAGAACCACAGTTTTGAGTAGGAAGGATTATGTTAAATTGGTGCTTAATGTAAACTTACATAATTTGAGAGAAGGTCTTAGAAACATAGGAAAATTCTGAAGGGTTTCTCTGGATCCCATTGGGTATATTTAGGTGTGTATACATCATGTACCTAACCCTGTTTTCACCGTGATGGGCTTCAAGGTATGTGTGTGTTTTCTAGAGTTTTATGTATTTGTTCAGGTAATTCCACTGTAGAATGAAAAGCGTTTTTAGCAAGATGAAATCCAGTGTTTTGATTTTTTTTCTGTGATTGTTTATCACCAGTTTTAAGACCCTCTCGAGGTCCTCCATTCAGGCATTTGCATGTTGGTGTGATCGTGGTGATGAGTAGCTGTGAACAGCACTCTCCTGTGTCTAGAAACAGGGGGGGTTTCTTTTCTGTCCAGGCAGCTGTGAAGTTATCAGGGAATGACTCTCCATCCTTGATTAATTGTCCAGCTGAGAACCTGGACGGGGCTTCCCAAGATGCTGCTGGCATCAGAAGCCTCCCCATCACTCAGATCTGCTCCCACGTATCCAGTGAGGGTCATTTTGCACCAAGGACAAGAATGCTGGGTCGCTACTATAGTTTGGACCTGGAGTGTCCCCAAGAGGCCATGTGTTGAAGTCTTGGTCCCAGCCTGTGGTGCTGTTAGGAGGCAGGGTATACTAGGAGAAAGTTAAGTCACAGGGGGCACATCCTTGAAATCCCTGTGGTGCCTGATGGGACCAGTCCTTCCTTCCCTTTCCTCTCATTTTGCTTCCTGGCCAACATGAGGTGAACAGGCTTCTTGTACCAGTTGCTTCCCCCTTGACATCTGCCTGCTACAGGCTAGAGCAACAGGGACAAGCAACCATGGACTGAAACCTCTAGGACTCTGAGCCAAAGAAAACCTTTCTGATTTATAAGTTGATTAGCTCCTGCGTTTTCTCACAGTGATAGAAAGCTGACTAGCACAGTTGCAGTTGGAACAAACGCTGACAGATCTATTTTCCAGGAACAAATGAGAGCTCCATGGCCTCTCCTGCGATGGCCCAAAATAGACATCCCTGGGGGGTCCACAGGAAGTTGGCATTTGTGAAGAGCCCCTCCATCACAGGAGAGCACATTCTGTAGTTTCCTGAGGATCATCGGTGACATTCACGTAAAACCCAGCACTAATACTAACGTGCCAGCTCTCATCTCCTTCAGTATCGCCACCTGGAGGGCAGGTACCGGGGCAGTGACAACAGCTGTGTTTGGCGGCAGCTTGATGATAACCAGACTTTAATGTAAAGTCCTTTTTTGTGCAAGTTCACTGAGGAGGGCATGTCCCAGGTTCTGTCCTTTGGTGTTGAGTGGACAGTGAGTTTGCCTTGCAGTGCAGTTTGGCGCTGTGTGTTTAGAACCCTCTGTCATTAGCCAAAGCTCTCTGTCTCTGGAGACCTGCTTTAGTGACTTTCCTCTGTCCAGCTGCCACTGGCTTTTTTGGGGTGTGTTTTTGGAGGAGATTTAATTTAGATCGTTTTCAAGAAATAATTGTAAGCCATTTTTCTGAATGAATAATGATAAAATAGTCAGTCAATGGATTGCTGAAAAGTGGAGAGTAAGTAATGGATGTACAGATAGGTTCACGGGATCATCGGTGATGTCCTTGAGGTTGGTTCATGATAAATGACAATCTGCTGAGCCACTGTTGTAACTTGGAAATTTGTTTGATATTACATAAGATTGAACAAAGCACTCCTTTATTCTTGGAATCGATCTTCTGTTAGTCATTTTGTGGGTTCGTGTGCTGCTCTAGATAGATATTAGAATATCCTGTCCATTCTCTAATGATTGGGAAAACGTTTCTTTTATGAGTGTGTGTGTGTGTGTGTGAGTATGGGTGTGTGTGTGAGTGTGTGTGTGTGAGTGTGTGAGTGTGTGTCAGGCATTAGGGTGGCAAACCCAGGGCCTCATGCATGTGGGCCAGTGCTCCACCGAGTCTGTAGCCACAGCCCCACTGATGAAATGCCCTCTGTAATCTGTCAACTCTTGTGAGTGGTTTTAAGATGATTTCCCTAGATCTTGCCAGCTCTTAGATTTCTAAAATAATAATTCTTCTAATCAAACAGTATTTTCGTATTTTATTTCAACATTTTATGAAATAGTTTAGACTTTCTACCTATTATAAGTGAATTTCAGTTCACCTACATGAACAATACCTCAGAGGTTGTATATAATGTCTAAATTGGAAGCTAAAAAGAAACCAGCAGATATGGAATGCTTATAATTTGTTTGTAGAAACAGTTGACATGTGTAGGGTAAGCAGGAGAGATAAAAAAGGTTTAAATTGGCTTTTTTAGTGGTTTCTTTTTTACTTTTTTTTTGGTGCTGGTGATGAACACCAGGGCCTGGGAATGCCAAGCACAAGCTCTGTGAGTCACAGCCCCAACCTCGTGACCTTTTTTTTTTTTTGATTAGTGAAATGTAAACCGCATCTTCCAAGTCATCTGGAATTTAATCTAATTTTGATAATGATATAGTGCCAAATCTAATGCATATGTGTCTTTGTCCCCCACATGTGACTTGAAAATGCCCTTCAGTAAGGTTGTGATGTCCCAGGAAGGCTCAGTGGGGTCCTGGAGATGACATTCAGATGGCGGGGTTTCTAGAACAAATATATAACTTGTAAGAGGGAGCAGTAGGAGAGAATTAGAATAGTAAAATCCTTTAGCAACACTAGAAACAAAAAGACATTGGAACAATGTAAAATACTGAGAGAAAAGCACTACAGACCAGAAATCCTGTACATGGTCCAGCAATAAATGTCAAAGCCGAAAAATTGGGATTGTAGGAAATGCAAGGAACACCACAAAGGTCAAATGCTAAGGCATACACTGGAGTGCTCTGTCACATGAAAACCGACCCGTGACATAGTTCCAAAGACAAAAGAGGCAAATGGGAGTTTGTATAATACTGGATCAGCATCTAAATGGAAAGGGCCCATCAAAAATCTTTGTCCTGGGTGGAGGTTCAGTGGTAGAGCCTTGCCTGCTCAGTCCCCAGCCCTGCAAAAATAAGTAAAGGCGTGGCCTGCTTTGGTGGCTCCTCCTTTGGCACCTGCCCCTCCCCTCTCTCCATGGGTCCCTTCTGTGGATGGGGGTGCAGTGAAACCCTCATTCTGTTATTAAAATGGCACACTCACTGGCACCCAAGGTCCATATGAAGAGTTCTCAAAGTTCCAAGCCCTCTAGGGCGCAGATTGAAACAGATGAGGAATTCCCAGACGAGCTGGTGGCTCAGGTTCCCCGGGAAGTCTGAGAACCCAGCTCATCCTGTGGCCAGGACTTGTGCACAGCTTTGCCACCGTGTGTCTTTGCTGAGAAGTAAATTGCCTTTTTCTTCTCTTTTCAAATGTAGGTTATATATTTGGGGAGAACTCCTGAAGATGCCTATAGAATATTAATCTTTGGCGATACATCCTATATCCCTTTCAGGTAAATATAAGAATGATGGGTGGATTTGGTCACTCAGACCCTTCAGGAATCTCTGGGTGGTTGTTTCTGAAAGCAGAAGACCTGGTGGGTAGCATCGTAGGGTGGGTGCAGGAGACACAGCCCACCCAGGGTCTCTGCAGTGACACTGTTGACATTTTATACATTGTAGGGTATTGAGCAGTGTCCTTGCCTTCTGCTCAGGAGATCTCAGTGACATCCCCACCCAGTGATCAAAACCCAAAGGTTTCAAGGTTTCCAGTCACTGCTGGGTGTGCCTGGAAGTGCTTGGGTGGAGGAGGAGCCAGGTCTCCTCTTGCCTTGATGGAAGGAGGCTTTGTGATCAGCTGAGGCCCTGAGGTGACAGTGCTCAGCATTAACACTGGCAGGTGGCTCCTGAGGAGTTGAGCAAGGCGATGAGACTCCCGCGTGACCAGGAGTCGACTCTGTGGGGCTCAGGCAGATGATGGCAGGGTCTTTTCATAAAGCAGTGACATCCTCACCTCAAACTTACCATGAGCTTGTCCTAAAGGTATTTTAAAGAAAAGTTGTTCTTTTTCTTTAAATAAATAAAATTGAATTGTATGTTTCTCTACTCATTTATCAAGTTGCTTGATTTAGCTAGATAATCTAAAGCCCTGTATGGTTCTTAATGAGTAGTAAATGTGTGAAATAACTTTGCTTGTTGCACACTTGATTGGGCCCATGGTCGCCTTGTTCTTCCATCCACAGATTAGTCGGTTGTTGTGGGTTATGATGCAGCCTTGAAGGCCTTTAAAAAAAATCTAAGGTTATGAATCTGGTGTTCTTGTGGCTGAGCCTTGGATTGGGTCTCTCTAGCCACAGGCAGTTTCCTCCAGGAACTCTGTGGATGGCCCATGGACTTGACTCCGTGAGGGAGACTTTAGGGACAGTCTTCAGAATCCAGTAGTGCATTGGATGGAAGACTGTATTAGTAATTGAGCAAGTTAGAAGACATGGTTTGAACCCTCTGTCCCCAGAGTGTGCCATTCATCTTCTCAGCCCATAATAAATCAGCAGCCATGTGTTTCAAAAAAAAAAAAAAAAAGAAAAGAAAGAAAGAAATGCTCTATTTGTGGTTCCTGAGTCACAGGGCCTTGGGTCACCCTGTTGATACTTTTTCCCAGTTTACATCATGAGGACATGTATTTGAATAAACACAGGTTTACATAATCTTAAGCAAGGATTTGTGACACACTGTTGATGTGAGGAAGGGTCTGTGTTCATACAACCCCTGAGAACAATAAATGTTGTCCACTGATATTTCTGTGTGTAAAATCATTGAAATTTGGCACTGAGAAATGAAATCAGTCGTTTCTGGTGTAGGATCACCAGCCAGAAATTCTCTAAACAACCAGACTTAGCTGGAAGCCATTCAGCTTTGTGAAGTTGGAATCTCTTTAGACAAAGATAGCCAGAAACTTGATGCACTTTCTCAAAGTGTGGTCTGAGTAGTGACCCCAGTATGTGAACTTTCTGTCACCACCCTGTGCTGAGATAAATAAATTGAGAGTTAGATTTTAGAGACATTTGTAGTAATCCAGTAATTTTAGATTTGTGAAAATAAGTAATGGAAGTTTATACATACATATAAATTAGGTTTTTTTTAACCCTTCCATTTTTCTAATAATTTGTGTTTATACATATACATGTATATATGTTTAGTTGTTGATGGACCTTTATTTTATTTTCTATGTGGTGCTGGGAATCAAACCCAGTGCCTCACACATGCTAGGCAAGTGCTCTACCACTGAGCCACAACCCTAGTAATTCATTTTGATAAACTAAGATCACTGCATCATTGTGGGTATGCAATAGGTTATTTATATTTTACATTTATTGTACTTTGCAAAAGGAGCAGCCCATAATGGACTTAAAATATTAAAATGTGGTGCTTCACCCCATTTTACTGTTCTGTAGGACTTTCTAATTAGAAAGTAGGCCATTTTGGATTAAGCCTGACAATACTTTGAAAGAGATTAGATCATTTTTATCTTTGCCACTTGTAGGGTAAAGAATCAGTGTAACAAAGTATGGATAACAACAGCTTTTGCAAGAGTAGCATTCTTTTACAGCAAATAAATTTAATGTTCAGAAGCAATATTTAAATTTAATTGAACCTGTCTCTTTAAGCACTGAGTTTAAAGTGTGCTTCCTTATGTGATTTCTATTGCATTAAATATTTATCTAAGTAAGAAAATAGTGGGCACCATTGTGTTTTCTGGTTCCCTCAGGTGCTCCTGTTCCTTGGTGTCCTCGGTACCCCTCTGGGCTCCTGAGCTGGTGTGTGTGTGGTGGGGCTGGCACCCAGGGCCTGTGCCCCCTGGGCAAGTGCTCTACCACTGAGCCACGGGCCAGGGTTTCCTTTCTCTTCTTGGGCTCCGCCTTCTTTTCTGGAGAGATGTGTAGGAGGCTGTCTGTCGGGAGCTCTCCTGGGGACATCAGGCAGATGGGCTTGGGCTCTGCTCTGCTGCTACTTGGTCTATGTACAGCTTTTAAAAACACTCATCCTGAGTGCTCAGCACAGCCCAGTTCTGTGTGGTCTTGAACAACCACAGGGTGCAGAAGGCCGCCACCCTCCCCAAGATGCCCTCCTGCTGCCCCTGTCACCTCCCAAATAGCCTTGGCTGTTCCTTCTGTCACCACCAGCTTTGCTTCCCTTGAACTTCAGTATCTGGAATCCTTGGTCTGTCTCCTGGGAAGCTGGAGGCTGGCCTTTCAAAGGCATCCTGTCAGAGGTGTCACAGGTCTGTCCCCGCGAGGCTATGGAGGGGGCTGCCATAGCCTCGTGTGCCGTGGTTTGTCTTTTGTTCCTTCTTGTGTGTGTGGTTGTGGGGATCGACCCAGGGCCGAGGCAAGTGCTCTACCACAGCCCTGCACCCCCAGCCCTGTCTCCTGTTATTCTTGGATGGTTTGGGGGTCATTTGCCGTTTTTAGTCCTGATTTGAAAGCTGGTATTTTTTTAAGCTAGTATTTGGTGTTGCTTTGCCATTTCTGAGCAGTCCCCCTTTGTGGATCGCATCTGTTTTCCCGAGTTTGATAGATGATGTTGACAAGAGCTGCCCGCCAGGCTCAAGTCCAGGTTCAGAGCTGCTCTTCTGCCTGTTTGAAGAAGGCCGCTTGCTTGGGTGGGAGGAGACGAGGGAGGCGCCAGTTCAATAATAACCAGTTCAATAATAGAATATTTTAACTGAAAAAGATGTGCTTTCTTTCCCTCACTGTTAGTTTAATATTGCTTCAATCAACAGTCCCTTAAGGTTTGGATAAGAACTAAGAGTTAATGTGTAGGCTGGGTGAATTACACCCTCTGTAATTCCAGCTACTCTAGAGGCTGAGACAGGAGATCACAAGTTTGAGGCCAGCCTCAGCAACTTAGCAAGATCCTGTCTCAATAGAAAAAGGGCTTGGAATGTAGCTCCGTGCTAAAGAGAGCCTGGGTTCAATCCCCAATATTGTGGGGGGTGGGAAGGATTCAGTTTAATTTTTCAGGTATTTGTATGAAAACTCAGCCAAGGTGAGCAATTAATGATGCCCTGTGGGCAGCCTGGTTCCACCTGGGGCCCAGGTTAGAGCTATTCCAGTAGGCCTGGTGTTTGGCATACCTAGAATGATCACAATTAAATCCTTACCTTGCCTAATTTCAAAAGATTTTATCCTTCAGCAGCTCAGGGTAACTAAAAAGCAAGCAAATAGGAGGGTAGCTTATTTTCTTGGGTAAAATCTTAGCTGATGTGAAGAGATTTGTGGTCAGATCACAGCCGTGTGTCTGTGTGGTGATCGGATGGAGTTGTCTTGTCAGCTGTTGTGAGCACTTTTCCAAGAGTGGAGTGTTTCCACCCAAGGGAGTGGGTGCCTTTGTCCCTGTGGTCTTATTGTCCCTTCAGAGTCAGAAGAAGCTTTCCAGTTAAGTCGTTAAAAGTCTGAACACAATGATGGCAACAAAGTGCTTGCGAGTTTCCACTGATTTTTCAGATAATACCTTGACTTCTCAGTGTGTCTTTCTACTTGGAGACACATGCACAGACACAGGTGCGTATTTGGACACACATACACATATGATTTGGCATTCAAAGGCGATCTTTTCTGATAATAATTTGATAAGGTATTTTCCAGTTCTAAGAAAAAATATTTAGATGCCCTGCCCTTTTGTGAGGAGGAGTAGATGTTTCTTGTCTAAATTCAAGAATGAACCCAGGTCTTAAAACAAAAACCACCCAGAGAGCTCACTAGAACAGTCAAACGTATTTGATTTTAAATCCTGGTCAGCTTTGTTTTGGGTAAGTTTGCTGCGGAAAGTCCACTGAGTTAATATACTTTCGGAATTTCAGAGATGCTGCCTACGGAAGCTGCAATTTCTACATTACTCTTCTCGACTGTTTTCATGCAGTGAAGAAGGTAAGTGACTCGGAAGTGCTCCCAGGGCTGTGCTAGAAGTGAGGACAGCTCAAGGGTCACCCAGCTTTCTTCCCCAAAGATCCATCTGCTGGAATTTTTTGCAGGATGTGTACCAGGTCAGAGGCATTCCATTTTCCAGCTCACATCAGAATGACACCAAACCAGGAGAGTTTGTTCTGAGTGCTGCTATGCACGATTTAGGTTCAAGGGCAGGGGTGTAGCTCAGCATTAGAGCATTTGCCAGGCAGGTACAATGTAGGCCCTGGGTTTGATCCCCAGCAGCCCCAGAACAACAGAGCACGGGGGGGCGGCAGGGGGTGGAAAGGATATAAAGAGACAGTTTAAGAATTAGGTCCTAGATACAGAATTCATTTTGAGCATTTTGTAATTTGAAAGAAACATTAAGTAAATAGATGACCAGTTCCAAATTCTCTTTTATTTATGTGTTTTATGTGTCTGATTCTAATACTACTTTATAAATGTACGTCTATAATACAGTAACTGAAACACAGATTTTATTTTTCCAGGTGTTCAATTTTCAGTTCAGAATAGGAATTTGGTTACTCAACTAGTTAAAGACTATGTGAAACTAAGTGGGTCAGTGTTACTTCATCAAAATGGTTTTCAAGGCGGGGATAGGGAGTTCAGTGGAAGAGCATGCACTCAGCGTGTGGGAGGCCCTGGGTTCAGTCCTCAGCACCCCAAAGCCCAAACAAAAGACAACCGCTCGCCCAAACTGTTTCAGATAACTTGTGTATTAGGCCCTGGGTGTCTGTCCAGGGGACAAGGTCAGATCACAGTGCAGATCAGCAGGGCCAACACACAACGCCTCAGGCCTGCTTATTGGCTGGGGCAGCACAGGCACTGGATCAGTAGCTGCAGACAGAAGAAGCTTCCACCAGAAGTTCAAGTTCTGTGGCAGCTTTTCCGAGGCTGGAGGAGCCAGGGTTTGCTTCCTGGTGTAGTGAAACAGACTTTCTGGGAATTTGGGCAGAAATTGTGTCTTTAAAGGAGGCTAACTGGCCTAAAACCCAGAGCCTGACCGGGGGCTCCTTTTCCTGGACTGGGCAGTGACACGTGGGTGTGATCTTGGATTTCAGTCCAGTGACTGGGCAGGTGAAGTTCTTTGTGTAGGTGCCACCAGCCCTGAGACAGCTCACGGGACCCAGGACCTCAGCCTAGGCAGGTGTTGGCCCAGGGGAAGGGGACATGGAGGTTGAGGGACGACAGCTGCAGATGACAACTTCTCGCTCTGGTGTGGTCCCTGCCAGCTGGGCCCAGAAATGGCTAACGTAGCAGCCACATCACCTTCAAGAGGAAGGAAGGGAACGGTCGAGGGCCTGGGACACGTCCACTCTGACACCGACACCGTCGCAGTTCATTGTTGTTTACTGACTTGGGGGTTGTGTTCCTTGTTTGGTCTGTGTTACACCTGAGCCCAGTTAGCTCTGTGCTAGGTCGAAGATTCCCTTTTTACACAATATTTGGTTTTATTCGAGGGCTCACAGGTCTGAGTTTCAATTTAAACATTTTTTGTGTGTGACTGGTTTTGAGGGTTACTGTATATATGAAATATCATTGTGATTGTGCTTTGATTTTAGTGCAGCTTCTTGTAGGATGAACTTATAAAATTTAAAGGAAGGGACTGGGGAAGGGCCTCGTGGTAGAGTGCCTGCCTAGCCCATGTGAAACCCTGGGTTTGATCCCTAGCAGCACCAAAAAAGAAAAATTCAAAGACAAATAAGAATTGCAAGTAAACTACATTAGGAGAGGGCTGTGCTGGGGGTCGAACCAGGGCCTTGTATGTACCAACCACTCCCCCCCCCCCCCCCCAGCCCGTAAACCACATTTGACTGTGTCATTCTGTAGGAAAATCTCCAAATATCATGAAGTACATTAAATATATAAATGTCTTAAATTCAAGGAAGGAAAATTCATCATGGATTTGGTCTTGTACCACTTACCCTTGATTTCATTTTCCATGATCAGTAGCAATCTGAAAATATTAAATGGAAAATTCCAGAAATAAATAATGCCTAAATTTCAAATAATTTTAGTACAGTATATTATAATTGCTCTATTTTATTCTGGGTTATTGCTAAACTTTTATTGTGCCTGATTTATAAATGAAACTTCATCATAGGTACGTTTGTATAAGAAAAAGCACAGCATACTTAGGGCTCATTGATTTTAAGCACCCACTGGGAGTCTTGGGGGGACATAGTTCCTGCAGATTACGAGGAGGGAGTACTATAACTCTGTTTTATAAAACAAGGACTTTTTGGTTGTTATTCTAGCCTCCTTATTTTACATTGATATTTCTGAAGACGGGGTTTACAGGAGTCATCCCTTTTGAACCGGTTGCCGTGGTGTTCAAGAATTCTAGCTCCTGTCCTGTGTGGCTCAGCCATCAATGAGCTGGGCGAACATGCTCTGCGTATCTTGCTTAATGTCCTCTCCTGCTGTGACTCAGCAGGGTCACAGGATAGGACAGAAAATTTTCTTATGAAAATAATACTTTTTTTTTCCTTAAAACTTTGAATTTTCGTGTTACTTCTGGGCTGTTTTAAGTATAAGGAACATTGGTCTCTAATAAGACTTTAAGAATTTGAAAGTGAAGGTGTTGATGGAATGTGTGGGCTCTGTTTGGGGTGGAGTGGCCCATGGTTTCTTTCCTCTTTAGTAGCTACTTAGAGACCTTTAGGTCTAGCATTGTGTTTTTGCTCTCAACGTCCTAATCTTCCACCATGGTGGGGTTGAGCTAATAAGTTGGTTAGGATTACTTTACAGGTATGATTATTTCACTATGTATGGATAGGATCTTTGGTGAATGGAAATATAGACACAAAATTTCCTTAAACGTTGTCATGAGTCATTTCCAGATAGTGGAAGCATTTGAAAGGCATGTCCCCACTTTGTTTGAAAACTGTTCAGTGGACAGTAATCCAAATGTAATAATGCTTTTCTGGGATACCTCTTTGTTATTAGGAAATTGTTTCCTTATTTGTATCTTTGTTCTTAAAAGCTTTATTTTGGATTTTAGGCAATGCAGTATGGCTTCTTAAATTTCAACACATTTGACCTTGAGGAGTACGAACACTATGAAGTAAGTTTTCAAGAATAATGTTTTCAGCCCCCTTCGCTCTAGGGTGCTATAAATGACAAACGTAGATATTTAAGGTGCATAATGTTTGCACAGCAGATGATTACCACAAGGTAATCAGCACAGCCATCACTCCCAGTTGGCTTCTTGTGTGTTGGTGAGAACACTCCGGGCTGTGCTTGGCACATTCTCCCATCATATAGTACCTGCTTCGCCAGATCTGCAGAACTTACTCGTCTCACTACCCAAAGCCCATGCTCTGACGAAAAACCCCATTTCCCCCACTGTTTTCAACTCTATTCACCTGTGGTATTTGTAGAAGTAAGTAAAAATCTTACATTTTGAAAAAAATTCAGAATGGTTTGTATGTTGTGTAGACTAGCCCTTCATGCCTTCCCCCTTACCCGTCTCTCCAGCCCTAGTTCACAGGGGTATGGCGGGCGGGGGTTAGTGGTTGCAGCGTGGAGGAGAGTGCGCCTGTGCTTTTTTTGTAATATTAAGTTAAAAAAATGTTGGCATTGTCTACTCCCATAGACTTGATAGAGCGAGACAAAGTTCATGAAGCCCTTGGCATAGGGTGTGAGGAGGTGAGTGGTCACTTCCCATCTAATGACCTCTGAGAAATGTCACTTTTGTTTGTATTAAGTCAGGACACTTGTCTTGAAATCATAGGAAGCAAACAAAAGTGGCTTAAGAGAGCAGAGATATTTTACTGGATCCCATCAATTAAAAACACAGGAGTAAGGCCGGGCGCTGTGGTACTTTCCTGTAATTCCAGCAGCTCAGGAGGCTGAGGCAAGAGGACTGCAAGTTCAAAGCCAGCCTCAGCAACTTAGTGAGGTGCTAAGCAACTTAGTGAGACTCTATCTCTAAATAAAATACAAAATAGGGCTGGGGGTGTGACTCAATGCTTGAGCGCTTCTGAGTTCAATCACTGTCACACCCCCCCCCCAAAAAAAAAAAATCCCGGAGCAGAAATTCCTGATGCTCAAGCATGAACCTGTCTAGTGCTCAGACACTTAGAGAAGCTGGACTAAAGCAGGCGCTGTTCCCAGACCAGCCCTTGAGAGCCGTCAGGGTGACTGCAGCAGCCTCCACCCCCAGGTCAGCACGCTCAGGAGAGAAGAGTGCTGAGCTCCAGCACAGACCCGGGAATGCCCCCGTCGGCCTGGCCCAGCACCAGCCTGTGCTCCGCAGACGGGTGTGGAATCTTCTGGCCAGACTTAATTCTCTGGCCTGCCCAGAAGCTGGGGTACTGGGGTCAGCCTTATCAGACAGTCCAAACAAAAATGAAGAAAGTTGGGGGGGTGTGTGTCAGGTAGGCAGAAACCCCACAGGTACCATCTACATTTTTAAAAATAGTATTTTTATTTCTAAAACATTTAAAAATGTTGAGCCTCGTGTATTGGCACACGCCTACAATTCCAGTGACTCGGGAGAGTAAGGCAGGAGGACCACAAGTTTGAGGCCAGCCTCAGCAACTTAGTGAGACCCTGTCTCAAAACATAAGGGCTAGGGACATTGTTGAGAGCCACAGCCCAAGGGGCTCCAGCAAACTTCCAGCTGATTGGCTCACAGCGGCCCCAGCAAAATGCCGCAGTCTGGCTGGGCACAATTCACGAGCCTCGAACACACACCTCGGCACCATACGATCTCTCCAGGAATTCCCTCAGAGCCCAACTGCCACCACCGGCTTCCGGTGAGCCTCTCAACGCACCACTCCTTCCGCTCTTGAGTTCCATTGGTTGGGTTGTGTGGGCGGAGCCAAAAGAGTCCCCCAATGAGCAGCTCCGTGGTCTGAAAGGGTGGGGAAACAGCCCAATGAGCATCACCGCAGAGGAGCCAATCAGCTGGAAGTTTGCAGGGGCAGCTGTGAGACAATCAGCTGGAAGTTTCCTGGGGCCCCTTGGCTGTGGCTCTAAACAGGACATGGCTCAGTGGTAAGCATCCCTAGGTTCAATCCCTAGTACTGGGGCGGGGAGGGAATAAATAAGTAGTTTGGTTTTTAAGGCTCCTTTCTCCTTGTGGGTAATGGGAAAGGTGTGTGCTGAGGCCTCCTTCAGGTGGAAGCACTTAGAGATTCTGGTTCATGTTTTTGGTACCCGGTGGAACCCAGGGGTGTCTAACCCCGACCCACACCCCAGCCCTTTTCATACCTTATATTTAGAGATGTGGTCTCACAGAGTTGCTTAGGGCCTCACTAGGTTGCTGAGGCTGGCTTTGGACTCTCGCTCCTCCTGTCTCAGCCTCCCCAGCTGCTGGGGTTACTCCTACCATGGTTATTTTGAGCCTCAAACCCTCAGATAATGGAGAGGTGGTTCCTCTGGCAGCATTTCATGCGGTCATATGGAATCCTTAAGAATAAGAGATTTGCAATTGATGAATTAGGTTAATAATGATAGTTCTTGCAGTGGTGTACCAAAGATGTAAAAAGCACATTTTAGGACTCACCGAGTTTAACTTATCTTTACGTCTCTATAACAATAACTCACCTGAGACTCTGTAGAGTGTATTGGAGTCATGCACTTCCTTTCTGTGCCTGTCCATATAAAATCGAACATTTACAATAAAACATGTTTTCTCTATCTAGGTAAGCCAAACGCTGGAACACCAGCTGGTGTCCTCCCTGGATGTCACCCTAGTGAGAAGGGAGGTGGGAGGAGAGAGAGCCCACAAGTGAACTGTGCTGCTCTTCCCTTTGCAGAGAGCAGAAAATGGAGATTTAAACTGGATAATACCAGACCGCTTCGTTGCCTTCTGTGGACCTCACGCAAGATCCAGACTTGAAAGTGGTATGCCGTCCTGTGGGGCCAGTGGATATAAATGTCCTTTCTGTGTTTTCCTTTGAAGAAGACCAGAGAGTTAAACTCAGCTTGACTGAGTTTTTATTATCTAAACACACTTGGTCATTTGAATTCATCATTCCACCTGGATTTTAACTCGTTAATTTATTCTGTTTTTTACAGTTAGAATCCAATTGGTATTCACTCCCCAGTCTAGGTACTGTTCCCAGTGTGTGTGTGTGAATGTTACAGGTGAAACTACTGTTCATGGTTTTCTTCCTGCCTTTCACAAGATCTGGTGAATTTCTTTATGTAGGTTACCATCAACATTCTCCTGAGAATTACATTCCATATTTTAAGACTCACAATGTCACTACCATTATCCGTCTGAATAAAAGGATGTATGACGCCAAGCGCTTCACGGATGCTGGGTTTGATCACCACGATCTTTTCTTTGCGGACGGCAGCACCCCAACCGATGCCATTGTCAAAGAGTTTCTGGATATTTGTGAGAATGCCGAGGGTGCCATTGCCGTGCACTGTAAAGGTAGGTTCCTGGGGGTGGTTGAATGCTCGGTTCCATGCCAGGATACATGGAGAGGCCTATATTTTTAAAGCAAGGCTTTCAAAACCCTGGATCCATGTGAAAAGTCTAGTAAAGTATTTTTATAAGTGAGTTTACAATGAAAGGCATTCATCTATTTGTCAGATACCCATTGTGTGCCTGTGGTATGGCCAGTTCTGGGAACGCCAGTGAGTACGGCAGATTCTCAGGAGAGGTGGTCTTCATGGAGACTACGCAGGCCTCTGTGTTTTCCGCACTTACAACAGTGCCTGGTACATAATGTTTTCCAAATGAATGGCTGTGGGATAATGAATCATATAAATATGCTAGGATGTACTGAAGTCTTCTCATATTAGTTATTAATAAGACAAGGGATATATTATTGTTAAGAAAAATCCAACATTAGGGAAAAACCCAGCAAACTCTGAACTCCAGAGTTAACCACTGTATTTATAGTTACAACTATAGCCATAATGTGATAATATCCAGATGTTCAATTTCCGGTGAAGAATTCTCATGCATTCAAAGAAAGCAGAAAAGGGTAATCAATTCAAAAGGAAAAATGAGTGAACCGAAACTGACCCCGAGAAAGACAAGCCGTGGGCCTGCTAGACAGATATTTTAAAACCACTTTTTTAGATGATGCTAAAAGAGTAAAAAGAGAACGTGGAACATGTCAATAAAATGATGCATGAACAAAATGGACATATCAACTTAAAAAAATATAGAAAGCAGGAGGAAACCAGGAAGAAATTCTGGAAATGAAATGTATGAAAATGTTATTGGAGGGATTCCAGAGCAGATTTGGGGAAGCAGGTAAAGAGTTAGTGATTATAAAAACAGAAGCATGATGGACGGGCTCAGGAGGTCAAGGGTAGTGTGTTTTCTGTCATGCGGAAGCTAAAGAGGAAAAGGAAAAGAACGGTCGGGGGTATCTCACCAGAATCCAAGGAGATCGATAGAGGAAAGGGACCGAGGGGAGGGAAGGGACTGCCGAGGAGTGATTTGTTGTGTCTGTGTTGTGTGCGTGTGTGAACGTGGAGCAGCAAGTCCCAGCAGCACATACAGCTGTGACACAGGAATTTAAAAATGTGGGAAGAAAATAGAACTGTAAAGAGAGAATCAGTTCCGAGGAAGAGAAAGGAAACAGGGAAGAGCCCTGAGCAGAGTCTGCGGACCTTGGGACACAGTCCGGCTGCCCCACTGTATGAATATGGACATCCAAGGAGCTCAGCCACTCCGAGAGGACAGACTCAGCTGCTCACGTGAAGACACACTGTAATCAATTTGCCTAAAGCTGGAGACAAAGTATCTTGAAAGCAGCCAGAGAGTCAGCAGGTTATTCACCATCTCAACAGAAACCGTGGAAGCCAGAGGCAGGGGGTTGATAGATCCAGTCAGCCCAGCACCCTAGAGCTTCCCTGTAGTCTGCAAAAGTCCCTAAAAAATGAGGGAGACACTGAGACATCCCCAGGTAATCAAGTGCTGGGGGGAGTCGTTACTGCTAGACTTGTACTATGAGAAGTGCCCGAGAGCATCCTTCAGAAAGCAGAAATGAAAGGACACTAGGCAGTAACCTGAAGGCACGGGAAAAATAAATGTCTTTGGTTAAGGTAAATAACGAACAGTTATAAAGCCTAGTCTCACTGCAACGTATGATAACTTGTAAAATTGCTTTTACTGCATCTGTTTTTTTTTGGGGGGGGAGGGGGTTGTACCTGGGATTGAACCCAGAAGTGCTCTACCTTATCCCCAGCCCTTTTTATTTTTTACGTTGATACAGGGTTTTGCTAGGTTGCACAGGCTGACCTTGAACTTGCAATCCTCCTGCCTTAGCCTCTTGAGTCACTGGGATTACAGGTGTGCGCCACCGTGCCCAGCTTATTACTATAATTATTGTAATATAAACATTAGAGTTTGCAAAATAAGCAGTGGAAAAACAAAATAAAATGCAACCAAACTCAGGAGTGGTTCTTTAAAACTTAGCTACGTTGCTAAGCTGCTTGATGGACAGAGATCACGAACGTCAGGAATGGAAGTGGAGACACTACTGCGGTCTCTACAGGAATAACAGGACAATAAGAGAGTCCCCTGAACAATTCTAGGACAAGCTGGGTAATCTAAATGAAATGGACCCATTCCTAGAAACAGAACCTACCAACCTTGAATCATAATGAGAAAGAAAATCTGAACACCGCCACTAGATCATGAGATGGAGTCAGCGAGCCAATTGGCCCACAGGGCAGCGCTTGCTAAGTCTTCGTGTGAGGCCAGAGTCGCCCTAAGACCAGAGCAGACAGAGCCGACGTGAGGAAAGTTGACTGGACCAGTAGCCCTTGCAAACATTGATGGAGAAATTCAGAATGAAGTGCCAGCAAACTGAGTCAGCAGTGTACTGAGGGGATCATCCACCATGAAGTGGTGTTTATCCCAGGGTTACAAAGGTAGGCCAGCGTACAAAGACCAGCGCAGTACTCCACGTTAACACAAGGAAGGACAGGCCCACATGAATGTCCATCAGTGCAGAAACGACATCTTGGGCTGGGCATGGGTGGTGCGTGCCTGTCATCCCAGTAGCTCACGAGGCTGAGGGAGGAGGATCATGAGTTCAAAGCAAGCTTCAGCAACTTAGCAAGGCCCTAAGCAATTTAGTGAGACCTTGTTTCTAAATAAAATACAAAAAGAGCCGGGGTGTGGCTCAGTAGGTAAGTGCTCCTCAGTCCAATCCCTGGTATAAAAAAGAAAAAAAAAAATTCTAAGGAAATATTGGTGAATTACCTGTCAGACTCAAGCAATCGTCTTAAAAATGGTCAATAAATTCAAGGAGAATATAGATAATTAAATGAAATCAGGAAAATGATACACGGAAAAAAAGATTGGTAATTTTATGGTGTTTTAACTGTACCTTAAAAAGCCACTCAAGCAGACACAATCCAACACTGGTCATTTCATTTTTAAATTATACTGTGCAGTCGAGCTTATTCTCAGCCAGGGCACTTTTGCTTCCCCCAGGGAACATTTGGCAATGGTACAGAGACATCTGTTTCTTAGTGTTCACAAGTTGGCAAGAGGTGCTTGTTCTATCTCGTGGGTAGACATCAGGGAGTTGCTAGACTTCCCACAAGGCACAGGATGAGCCACCCCACAGGGCCATTCCTGACACGGTGGAGGGCCCTGGCTGAGGTCTAGTTAGAACCCCAAGAGGATTTGACGCAGGAGCGCTGGATGAAGACCCTATGAGGCGGGAAGCAGAGATGCATTAAGAAGCATGTCTGTCTTGTGGGCTGCCGGGACAGAGCGCCACACCCTGGGTGTCTTAAGTAACAGACCTTATCCCCCCCCCCCCCCCCCACCCAGTGTTGGAGGGGGGTGACCCCAGGCAGCCTCAGGTGGTGGTGCTCGAGGATTGGGCTCTGGCACAGTTTCTGTCCTTGACTTGCCGAGCACTGTCTTCCCTGAGCTTTCTCAGGGCTTCTTGGGTCTCTTCCTTTTCTTGCAAGGAAAGGCCCCTCCCTTCCAACCTCGCTCAACCTTATTTCTCTCCAAATATAATCACTTGAGCAGTTAAGGCCACGTACACTGAGGTAGTGGTGAGTTCAGGTCTGTGATTCTGCTTTCTAGCCCCTCAAAATCCATGTCTTTGTGGCCTTCACTCACTGAGTCACAGCAGCCCGATGTCTTCGTCCATTTGAACACCCACTCCAAGTCCACAATGTCATCTGGGGCTGGGAGGGAGCTTGGTCGTAGAGCCACCGCTTAGCCCATCATCTAAGTTAGGTTCAAGAGACCCTGGAGATGAGATCCTCCCTGTGGCAGGTCTCCTCTCCAGCTGTGAGCCTGTGAAATCAGGCAAGCCGTGTGCTTCTACGACACAGTGGCCGAGGAAGTGTAGGGTGGACATTCCTCTTGCAGAAGGGAGAGGTCAGGAGAGGCCCCCAAGCAAGTCCAAAACTAGCAAAGCAAGCACCATTGGATTTTTTATTTTTTTTAAAGAAAGAGTGAGAGAGAGAGAGAGAGAATTTTTTTTAATATTTATTTATTTTTTTTAGTTCTTGGCAGACACAGTATTTTTGTTTGTATGTGGTGCTGAGGATCGAACCCGGGCCGCACGCATGCCAGGCGAGCTCGCTACCGCTTGAGCCACCTCCCCAGCCCCTGGATTTTTTTTTTTATTAATATTTTTTAGATGTTGATGAACCTTTTTTTCATTCATTTATTTACATGTGGTGCTGAGAATCGAACCCAGTGCCTCACACGTGCTAGGCAAGTGCTCTACCACTCAGCCCCAGGCCCAGCCCCAGCCCCACCATGCTCTCTCTAGAACTTATTAGGGTGGTTTTTCTCTTTTTTTCCTCTCCCCTCAATGTGGCTAGCCTGAGAATTTCTGAACCTTTAGTTTCTAGTTCCTTGTTGCTTACCAAGTCCTCTTCACCCATCTTTTTGCACTTAACTAGCCATCAAGGAGAAGCCAGGCTGCACCTTCTCACTTCTTTCACAGATTTCTACTAAATCTCCAGGGTTCTCATTCAACAAACACTGCCTTCCGCAAAACACGGGGTTGTGTGCTGATGATTTGCCACTTAATTATGACTTCCCTCCAGTTTCCAGTAGTGCATCCGGCATTCCACCTGAGGTAATCCGGCATCACCCTCAGCATCCGTATTCCTAGCAACAGTCCTTTCAGGGCCACCTGGGCTGCTTTTGTTTCCCCCTCCTCTTAGCAGTATTGGCAAATGAGCTAAAGGCCTTGCCCGTACTAGGGAAGCATCTTCCGCACAGCCATACCCCAGTCCACAGCTTTTTCTAACATGCCTCAGAACTCTAAAGGCCCCTGTAATTCTGACCTTAAAGCCACTTCTGCATGCTAGTGTATTTGTTACAGCAGCATACCTTTTCTGATCCACATAAGTATTAGGATCTTCTAGGGAACAGAAGCAATAGGGGTGTGTGTATGTGTGTGAGAAGGAATTGGCTCACGTGAACATGGAGTCTGGTGAATCCCAAATCTGCAGCGTGGACTGGCAGCCACTGTGATCGGGCCCTTGGGTGAAGTACAGATGCAGCTGGCAGGAGACTTCTCTGGGATGTGGGTCTTTTTGTTCCATTCATTCCTTCAGCTGATTGGATGAAGCCCACCCGCATTATGCAGCGAAGTGTGCTCCCTGAAAATTCTGCATTTAGATGTTAAATTCACCCAAGCACTCCTTCCCAGCAGACACGGCACACGACATTAGCCATCTCAGGGTGTAATGTCAATTGTCTGGACACGAGGAAAGGAGGGCAGCTGTAGTGGGGCTGGGGCTGGGGCTGGGGAGAGTGCTTGCAGGTCCTAATTGGATGCGATTGTAAGGGCAAGACTCGGGCAAGATTCAGGGCTCTGCTTGAGAATCCAGCGACTCTCAGTCTCAGCTACACCTCAAGTTATGGGGGGGATTTTAGAAACTCGGTGTCCAGCACCAGTCTTTAAAGCCTCCCAAGGTTCCAGTGTATAACCAGCCCTGAGACCCAGTGTTGAGATAAGCAGGATCATGGGAAGTCTTAAAATTTTATTTTTCACCTGCCCAGAAAATTTTAGAGTTTGCAAGACGAGGTTTCATCCACTGGTTTGTTTTCCTAGCCGGCCTCGGTCGCACAGGCACTCTGATAGCCTGCTACATCATGAAGCACTACAGGATGACAGCCGCCGAGACCATCGCGTGGGTCCGCATCTGTAGACCTGGCTCTGTGATCGGGCCCCAGCAGCAGTTCTTGGTCATGTAAGTAGATGGGAAGCTCTTGTCATTGCTCGGGGACACACACGTCTGGAGACTGGGGAGTTAGTTTCTAGTAGGGGCAGTCTGGTCGGAAAGTGTCACTCATGGATCCTTCTGGAAAGCTGTGTTTTATCGTTGCTTGCATGCTCTAGGAAACAAGCCAGCCTCTGGATAGAAGGGGACTACTTTCGGCAAAAGTTAAGGGGACAGAAGAATGGAGCACATCGGACAGCTGCTGCCTTCTCCAGACTCCTCTCGGGTGTTGATGACATTTCAATAAATGGTGTGGAGAATCAGGACAAGCAGGAACCTGAACCGGTAATTGAGTGGTGCCCAGCACTGTCCCCAGCACCATCCTCAGCGTGCTATTGTCGGTGCTTTATGTGCTGTTGAGCACCTTGTAGGGCGATGGAGAAAACTAGTCAGAAATAAGAAAGCACATATTATTATTACATATTCTCAATCGAGGGGCCATGGTCACATAGTTCTTTATACGTATAACCCTCCCTAGGAACATGGTCCACACAAGAGCTAAAACAAATTTGTGTGTCGTACCCAGAATTAAAAATTGGTTTTAGCTCTCTAGATGATCTGGTTGTTCCCTGCCCTGGCCCACCCGCTCCCTCCTCTCCCGCCTGCTGATTCGGGAACTGGGAGAGGACTCATAGAGAACGGCGTCTCTGGGCCGCGGTACCACCTGTCGTAAGTGGCATGGTGACATTCTATAAAGAATGATTCCCAAACTGAAAACCCATGTTGCTGCTCCACTGTCCGTAAGCTCTGTCACCAGAGGGCCATCGGGGTTGGTGCCTGTGAACTTGATATGTGACTCGTTTGATTTTGGAAAGAGAAAAATGTTTTAAAGTTGAGCAGAAACTCGTGTGTGTGTGTGTGTGTGTGTGTGTGTGAGAGAGAGAGAGAGAGAGAGAGAGAGAGGCCGCTATGCTTTTCTGCATTAATAAATGTGACCTGCATCGTTAGCTTGGTGTCTTTGTACTTACACAGTACAGCGATGACGAGGAAGTCAGTGGAGTGACACAAGGTGACAGACTCCGGGCCCTGAAAAGCAGAAGACAATCAAAAACTAACACTATCCCGCTCACGTGAGTCTGGTTTCCTTTGCTGTGGTTGGTCCTGCTTAGTGTGGGTGGGTCGTCGCGGCAGAGTCCCCTGCACTCCCTTCCAGCCGCGTGCCCCTGGCTGCCCTCTGTCGTGGGTGCTGATGGTGGTCAACATCCAGGGCTGCTCGCCTGGGAAGCCCTCAGCCGCCTGCCCGCCCACATCTTTGTCATAACCCTGGGAGCTGTGCTTGGCCAGGCCAGCCTGTGCTTGGTGGACCACGGTGCTGCCCTCGGGGGTCGCCGCAGAGTTGTGATGACGACTCTTGATGTCCACTACCCACCACAGGTTCCCTGTTCTGCTCCAGTGGAACCGTAGAGTCATCACGTGGTGTGGGGACCGCAGTGAACTGGTCTAGATGATACTTGGGTAGATTTCCTGTTGGGGAGTTATTTTCAGATTGCTGCAGATACAGCACATGAGACTAGGAGGTGCCACCGTGGAGGGTGTGTCCCCGGGTGTCTTCTCCGCACGTCGCTGGCTTGGAGTCAAGCTCACGGCCATCCTGGGCTGTTGGATGGTGTGGAGGGTCAGATTCCATGGCCATCGTGCTTTTCCTAGGTTTTCTCCGAGAGTGTCCCCCTGACTTGGGTCCCTTCCTCCTAGTGACCTCCCTTCACTGTGGGCCAACAGGTTTCTGGCTTTTGTCATGAGGAGCGAGTCATTTATTTAGGAAACATCCTGTAACGTGGCGAGGAGCTGACAAATCATTGACGTGAGCCGGGACAGGCTTCTTTTTAATTAAAAGTGGTTCTCAGTGGTGCCACCCCGTAGTTTCAGGTTCTGAGGTCACATTACACACCAGGCTCCCCAGGAAGGTCTTACACAACCCAAAGCGGAGAATCAGGTCTTCCATCCAAAGTGCCTTATGAGTGGTGCTGACGTCAGGCGTTGATTAACGACCCTCCCCGCAGAGTGGTCTCTTCGGTCAGGTAGGCCCCTGCACAGCCGTGCCTTTCATGGGGTGCGTGTCGTGTGAGTAGATACGTGGAGTGCACTGTGTGATACACTTCAGAGTCAAGGCCTTTGTTTTGATTTTATTAATTTTATTTTCTTTATTTTTTTGGAACGGGGTTTTGCTGTGTGGTGAGGTGGGCCTTGAACTCCTGGACTCAAGCCGTCCTCCTACATGCCTCCACATGCCCAACTCATTAAACTTTTTTTTTGGGGGGGGAGGGGTACCGGGGATTGAACTCAGGGGCACTCGACCACTGAGCCACGTCCCCAGCCTTTTTTCTATTTTATTTAGAGACAGGGTCTTACTGAGTTGCTTAGCGCCTTGCCATTGCTGAGACTGGCTTTGACTCATGATCCTCCTGCCTCAACCTCCCAAGCCGCTGGGATTCATAAACTTTTTTTATCTGAGGCCTTAGTACTTGTTTTTATTTAGAAAATCATCGTCCTGGAATTAGACGTGATGGGGGAGGGTAGGGAGGAGGCCCGAGCAGCCTCTGAGACTCTTCAGTGCCCTTGAGTTCCTGGGGAGCTCCTCATAATGCGACTGTATTTAAGGGGGAGCGGTGGGCTGTATGTAGCTTTAGAGAATCTGCCCACCCAGCAGGCTCCCCTGTGGCAGATGCTGCTTCGGCTGCTGACTGTCCTGTGAATTGCAGGCTCTAGAAAACTGATGCTTTTGGCTGTGTCCAAAGTTTCTGTTTTGTTCTTTGAGAATCTGCATCATGCCAGGTGTGGTGGCACATGCCTGTAATCTCAGTGGCGAGCCTTGACTCTGGAGGCTGAGGCAATAGGATCACAGGCTCAGCAACATAGTGAGGCCCTAAGCAACTTGTGGCTCAGTGGTTAAGCACCCCTGGGTTTAATCCTTGGTAACAAAACAAAACAAAGAATTTGCACTAGCCCTTTATTTCTTAATAGGTCACTGTCCTCTATTCAGGGTTAGGATTGGAATTTAGATTCTTCTTTTTCTTTTTTAACATGGTTTAATTTTTATTGATTAGTTTGATTGGATACCAGGGATTGAACTCAGGGGCAGTGGACCACTGAGCCACATCCTATTTTGTATTTTATTTAAAGTTAGGGTCTCCCTGAGTTGCTTAGGGCCTAGTTTTTGCTGAGACTGGCTTTGAACTCATGATCCTCCTGTCTCGACGTCCCGAGCCGCTGGGATTACAAGTATACACCACTGCACCCGGCTTAGATTCTTGGTAAAGTTTCCATTAAGTAGGGCCCTGTAGGAGATGTCCTTTGGTCGCCCTCTCCACGACCTTCAGGGTATGTTTTCTAGAGTTCCAATCACTTGGTGCTCAGTTCTAGGAAAGTTGAGATTGTAAAATTTGTAAATGGTAGTTTTTTTTTTTTTTTCCCCCTTCAGTACTGGAGATGGAACCCAGGGTGCGTTACCACTGAGCCACGTCCCCAGCCCTTTTTATTATTTAATTTTGAGACAGGGCCCACTAAGTTGCAGAGGCTGGTTGTGGACTTGAGGTCCTCCTGCCTCAGCTTCCCGAGCTGCTGGGATTGCAGGCGTGGACCACTGTGCCCAGCTGTAACTGGTGTTCAGATTTTAACTACCCGGGGAACCTGCAGGTGACCCTGGATGTCATTCTTTTCACCCGACCTTCGGGGAACGGGATGGAAAGTCAGCTGGAATGTTTTGGCGAATGATCATATGTTACCTGGACTCCCCACTTGCTGGCTGCGGATATCCAGAGTGAAGGTGGTAGGAAAATAGGTTCTATTCAAAGCCCACTTGAAGGAAGAAACTTCCTGCATCTCTGGAGGCTCTGAGAGCCAGGGAAGCTCTCACAGGAGAGGCTGCAGGGTCGGGCCAGGGCAGCAGAGCCACGTTAGCCACTGAGAGCAGGCCTGGATGGCGGTCCGCCTTCTCCCCTGCTCCGCACCCTCAGGATGTGTGGCTCGGCCGGCCTTCACTGGTGCAATGGTAAGAGCAAACCAACCCGAGCAGAGCTGGTGCTGCTGGGGGTCTGCCTTGTAACTGGGACCTGCAGACCAGACCAGACTCACTCCTCCCCTCCCAGCTTAGGAGTTCACAAATTTGTAGTCCACAAGCATTTTGCTTTTTCCTTTTAATCTCTTAATTAGTCTAAAGTCTAAAGTCCCTGGGGGCTTTTAAATGACACAGCGAATCACCTTCCTGGCCCTTTACTGCCTTTTGGTTTGCCCTCCTCCACTTCTCAGACCCTTTTGCATTTCTCATCAACATCTTTTGCTCTGTTTGTGACCCTTCCGGCCCTGGGAGAGGTTACCTTTCTTACCTTTTTTCCCTGCCGGGTCTTTGTTGGTATTTTAGAAATGCCCCACCCCACCCCAGTGTTGAGTTGAAGCCTGGGTAGAGAAATCTAAACTCAAACTCTGTCCACCGGTTTGGGCTTGACTCAACTGTTCCTGCCAATGAGTCCCTTTGCCTGGGTACTGGTCCTTAGTCATGTGGAAATACCTGCAGGAAGGAATGCTTGGTGAGAAATAGACAAGTCCTAGGGACTCTAGGAGAAAGCATGTCAAATACTATTCCTCTGATGTTTCCTTTAGAGTGGTCCATATCTGGGGAGCAGCGAGGTTACTAGAAATGGTAAACGGGCCCCTGCCTCAGAGCCTGTCTCAGACATGACTTCGGTGGAGATAGAAATCACGCAGCAGGACATTGATCTGCTGGCCAGTAGGTTCTCTGTGGTGATTGAGGGAGTTGGCTTTTAAAACTCAGCCAGGCTGCTTGGCTTTCTTTCCGTGTGCCGCGGGGTTTGCCAGGGTTTCAGGGTAACAGCTGCAGGTGCAGGTGGGGATGGGTGGGGTCTCCAGTGTTCCCAGGTGTTCTGTCTGTATGCTAATGTGGTCTTATGTCATCTTAACCCTTGATTATTAGATTCACTGTTTTGCAGGAAGCGCCAACAAGATGACGTAAGTATGACTTGGGACAAGTTAGGTTTTATTTTAGGTTCTCTATTTACTATGGTCCCCTTCCTTGGCACAGAGCTTTTAATGACCACGATGACAAGGTCAAGAGAAGAGGTGGCCAGTGAGGCCAGCCAGGCACTTCTGACTCGCTCAGCCCAGTTCTCTGCACACAGCACATACTCCATAGAACCCTTTGTGTCTGGTCACATGTGTGTCCAGGGGACCCTTTGCAAGTGCTGTATTGGAGGGAGCTACTGCCCTTCCAGGTGTGAGGAGGTTCCCAGGACCTGTGGACGAGGAAGCAGCCAGCGCAAGCCAGCCTGGCCTGCATGGGGAGACAGCCAGAGCATATAGTGTGCTGTCTGCTGCCCTGGGTGGGGTGGGGTGTGGCTCAGAGCCCAGCCGCCCCTGTGCAGTTTGCCTGAACTCCTGAGTGGGTGTCAGAGCTGTGTCCATCAGCAGCTGTGTCTCCTGTGAGCTGGTCAGGTAGTCTAGGCCCAGCTCCACTGCTGTGGTCCGCTTTATTGTGCCTTTAACTGTGAGCGGTCTAGGATCATGAAGTTACGTCAGTGTGGGCGGTTACTTAACTAGAGACTGAGTTTGACCTTTTGTTCTGTGAGAGGTAGAAAGTCTGGTGATCCATTTTCAAAATGCAGTATTCAGCCTTCACTGGGTCCAGTTGCAGTAGCCAGTCCCTTTTACCCACCCTGATTCTAAAATGAGCGTAGATTTGCCCGAGTCCTCCGGTCAGGGCCGAGGGCAGCTCTGCATCAGGTGGACAGCGGGCAGGGCGCCCGCCCTGAGCTCACCAGCCGGTTGGGGAGCATGCCCTGCCCGCAGAGCCGGGTTCCCCGCAGCCCCTCGTTTTCTCCAACAGTTTCCAGGTGTCGAACCTGTCTTGCTGAAGATGGTGTGTCTTCCTCCATGCAGAAGGTTAAAATCCGTTTGGCCCTTTTCATCCCATTTGCTGCTCCTGCCCGGTCAGGGTGTCTGCGGTTCCCACGAGGCTCGATGGATTAATTTGTTTATTTACTACGTGACGACTGTGGCATCCCCAAGTGAACACCTGTCTTTCCCTTCGCCCCTTTCCAGATGCCCCCTAGCTGTGCTGACCTCGGCACTGTGTGGTGTGGCCGTCTGGTGGATTGTGTGTGACTACATTCTTCCCGTCCTCCTCTTCTGTCTCGAGGGTCTCAGAGCCCAGTAGCCAGCGGGACCCTTTGACAGGTGGCTGCTGTAAGTCCCGCCCCTTCTCTGGCTCTCTGCTGGCCTGCGGCGTGGTTCTGCCATGCATGCTGTCCTCCATGCCAGCTCTGCTGCTTGGCGGGGCTGCCCCATTCACAGGTTCTTCCACAGGTTCTTCCCAGTGCCGGGGCTGCTGGCAAGGAGGGAGGGCTTCGCTGCTCCTTTCACGCAGGATCTGAAAAATAACACGCCCTGTTTCTAAGTCGCACTTAACTCTCACCTGATATTCTGAATGGCCACTTGTTAACGCAGGCATTTTCACCTGTTCCTGCTTCCTGTCAGGAGCGTCTCGCTGAGGATAACGGGGGTTCCAGTCGGTCGCCTCTGCTGCCCCCCTCTCGTTCTCTGTACCTAGAGCATGTCCTCACTGACGTGGCAAAAAAGAATTCTCTCCCTCTGGTCTGCTTCCAGCAGCAGAGTGGTTTTGTGGGCTTGTGGAGCCTGTGACCTGGCCCCTGCCATCACACAGTGGCTCTCCAGAGTCTTCCATCTCCTTCCTTCTCGTCTGTAGGGAGCGCAGTGGGCAGAGCTGTTGACCTTGACTTAAAGGACATAGAAGGCAAGGGGCTGGGTGCTTGTGTCTGCATCCCCTCCCGTCTCTGGGCTCCGTTCTTCTCCTTTCTCAAAAATAACCAGAATGTCTTCATTCTCCTGAGACCTTTCATCCTTGAAATGAGTGGAGACACTTGCTCTCTGCAGGAGTGTGTCGGTGGGACGCCACAGTGAAGACCCCCCCACTGAATCAAGTCCTGTGACTCTGAGGCTGGTCACCCTACATTCTTTATTTTCTAAAATTTTTTTGTTCCCTCATCTTTCAGAAATGTCTTTCTGGTCCCAACTTGGAGTTGGAAATTACAAAGAGTTCCTTCTAGGATCTCTTCCAAAGTCAAATTCCATGGCCGCCAACTCGGGTGCTTTGTGGTTTCAGTGAGTGTTTTCACATGGACAGAAAGATTTAAAAATGAAGCAGATTATGCTCTTTGCATCATGAGAAGGAAACCCCTCTGCGTGTCCTTTCTTAGGCACTTTCTTGAGTGTCCTTAGCTCCTGGCGTCTCTTCTCCCTGGCGGTTTCTGACATCCCTGGTCTTTTAGGTGCTTCTCTTCACCTTCTTTCAGTGAGCTCTGAGTTCCACGTATTCAGGAGCCTGGGCGCTTCCTTGACTTACTGACTTCAGACTGTCCAGGTGGCCACGGTGTTCCAATGGGGGAGTTGGTGCTTGGGCACTTCACTCCCAGGGTCCATTGCTGTTGGCTTTTCCCAGCTGGCTCTGAGACACCTGACCCCGTGGTCGTCGTTGACGTCTGCCCGTTGCGCCCCACACCCAAGCTCAGTGTCCAGGTTGGCCTTTTAACTGGGAGTGCACAGAAGCCAGGAGCTGTCCATAGTGCCAGTGACTGAGCAGGTCTTACCCACGTGGTCACTGCCTCCCCCTTGCTTGTTTCAGAGGGTCTTTGCTCTGGAAGGCGACCACTCCAGGCCCATTCTGGTCATCATCTGTGGGCAGGTGAAGGAGCCTGGCCTGGGGTTGGCCAAGCTGAGAAGCACTGTCCGGAGCAGCATGTCCCGTTCCTGTGGCAGCCTCGGGTCCTGGGAAAGGTGTCCTCGTTCCAGACCCCACCTCAGGGCTGCCCAGGGACAGGTGCGTGGCGCCCTCAATGGCCTTCCCTGGCCGTGGAGGTCCAGGCCCTCGCTGGCCTGACAGGCAAGACGCGCAGCTTTTCGGCATTTTGCTTTGCTCTGTGCCTTGTGGTGCGGGTGTCCCTGTGTCCACATCTGAGGGTCCTGCGGGCCCAGAAATGCTGCCAAGTGAAGAGTGGACGTGGCCTGAGGCAGAGGGGAGTGAGGCTGAGGAACTCCTCAGGGAGGATGGGAAGGTGGAAGATCTGTGCTGAATGTTGCTCCAAAGCCTTCGGCTGGCCTGGGTGTCACCTCTGGGCCACCTCTGGAAGACTTCAGCGCGCGGTGGGGGCTTTCCCTCTTTGGTGCCTGCCTGCAGGTGCGCTGAGCACGCGGTATGAGCACAGATGGTGGGTCTCCCCGGTGCAGCGACTGCACCCTGAGTGTCTGCCCTGCTCTTCTTAGTTTCAGAATTCCACAGAAATCATTATCTACTAGTATTTCACATCAATTTATGCACATTTTACAGGGAAATAAGTACTTTTTAAAGGCATTTTCTAATCCTAAGAAATATTCCCAGCGAAGCCCGAGCTTTGTTTTCAGTAGTATTTTAACATTTCAGTGAAGATGAAGGAGTCAGCTCAGGTTTCCTCAGCAGGCAATGTACAGTATGCAGTATGGAAATTGTCTAGGCCTTTGATTATCAGTATCCCTGAGATTTGGGAACAATGAGGTGTGGTATTTCAGAGAAGCCAGCAGGACCCCCATTTTCTTCACCTAACAAGTGGCTTGGGGGACTGGTGAGCGGCCACCCCGCCGGGCCTGGACCTCAGAAGGAGTTAGGAGGTGGCAGTTGAATTTCGTTTTTTCTTTTTCAGTTTTGGCCTCAAACTTGCAATCCTCCTGCCTCAGCTGCCCAAATAGCTGGGATCGCAGGTGTGCAGAACTGCATCTGGCTTGTGCTGTTTTTCCTTATGCAGAATCCCGAGTCAGATCCTTCACAGAGACGAGTAAGAGTCTCTTCCTCACTTTATATCACCAGAGAGAAGTTTTAGCAGTTGGCCAGGAGGAGTAGCGTTCGTAGCCCAGTGTGTGGTAACAGTGGTTGGTAATTGTTTCAGAATAGCTTGGAGCAAGGGTTTTGACATGTGTGCGAGGCAAGGGTGAGGCCACGGCCCTGATCCGATTGCAACGTGTCACAAACGTGTGTCAAAGTGTCACGGTGTACCCCATAAATGTCATGAGCTTGTCCCTGTCCTCGGGAGCGGAGCTCAGAATCCAGGCAGTCCGTGCATCATGAACTTGACCACATGTGATCCTGCATGCGGCATTTCTGTCTTGTCAGATCATTCTGTATTCCCAGTGACGAGACCTTAGGAGAAGCTGGACCAAGCGTTGGCTGATTTATCCAGGGTTTGATTTCTCTGTGAGGTGGAGGGCTTGCTTCAGGGGACTGAGACATCTTGCGTGGACGAGGACAGCAGCCGCCACAGGAGGACCACCTCCTCTTCCCTGGGGGCTTGGGGCCACCTGCAGAGACCAGTCCCAGACTGTGCCCGTGTTCAGGAAGACCTGCTGTTTTGAGCGACGAGGTGTTCCCATCTTACTGAACATCGCTTGTGCTTTGGTTTGGCTGATCCTGCCACAGTCAGGCCCTGGCTTTGGGTGTTAGCTACTGAGGTGGTGGCAGAGGCCCAGGAGGCTCCGGTGGGTCCTAATGGCTGTTTCACTTTGCAAGCTGGGTCCTGACCAGTTCTCACCCTGAGGCTCAAACGTGAGAGGAGAAAGCTTTTCCAAGCAGTGTTTTCTCTTTCAGATGAGTAAACGTTGATACGCATCAGTGCGTGTGTGCTGTTTAGTTTTCCAGTGGTTAACTCAGAAGTGAGGACGTGCCTATGCAGTCTTGGGCATCTTCACAGTGACAGTTCAGGGAGATGAAAACACCCTGTGAGCAGGGCTCTGGGTGGCTGTCACCTCGGCTCTTCTTTCCGATTCTTGCCTTTGCCTCCTGGGCAGTCTGCTATGGCGGGAAGGTTTTGTCTTTTAGAGTTAAGGCAAGTTTCACGACATTTAAATGATTTCACTCTCATTTTATGGTACTTAGAAATTTAGTAAGCAGTTGCAATCCAGACAAAACTCAAATTTTGCTTGAAAGTATCTTAAAACTTTGAAATGTTACAGGAAATTATTGATTTGTGTTCATCACATATACTTTGAGCTGTTATCAGTGAGTATTGTGTAGCTATTCCTAAATTCATATTCAAATATTTCAGAATTTGGGGTTTATGACTTGTTTCCATGACTAGAAATCTGAGTCTGTCTTCACAGATTCGTTTGATGGGTTCTTCGGTGTGGGAATCGGTTATCATGCCCGGCATTTGTTCTCCAAAAGCAGAGCACTCTGGTTATCTTTGTTTAACCTTCAAAGGGAAATGAGGTGCTTCTTCTCAAAAAGGCTTGGTGTTAAAATGTGTTTTGGGGTATTTTTTGGCAAGCATATTGAGAGACAATCTCATCATTCTCTAGAAAATAATTTGCATTAAAGGCGTGAATGCCTTCCTCTGTCAAAGTGTCTGAAAGTTGTTGCGGTGAATATAATCTCATTTTTTTCCAACTGTTTTCAGAGTAATTCTCCAGTCCAGTGTTCAGAGCTGTAGAACACCTGAACCTGACATTTCTGGCAGTGCAGGCATTACTAAAAGAACCACCCGATCTGCTGCGAGGAAAGGCAGTTTTAAAAGGTGAGAAAAGAATCTTGTTCTTGGGAACAGCTCCAGCAAGGTTTTCCAGATTGCTCTTTTAGGCCCTAGCTCTCGAGATGGGCAGAAGACCACAGAGGGCAGGGTCCCTGCAGTGGGAGAGGACTCACCCGGGGGCGTGTGAGATTCTGGGCGGTTGAATGCAGGCTTTTGTTTCCTTTTGTGGCTCAGGAAATTCTTACCCCTGGAATGTGGGCTGCGGAGAGTTGAGAATGTGGTTGTTCTGAAGAGTTTTTAAATGGAGTTTCCAAAGTGCTGTCACAGCTCCGAGGCGTCTTGCTGTCCGTCTGCCAGAACACTGACCATCTTTCTGTCTGCTAGCATGTCTGTTGGAGCACTGGTTGCAGTTCAGCTGGTGGCCAGTGTCTGCCCGTGCAGAGGCCCTTCCTGACCCGAGGCCCGCGGGTCCTCGTGGCCACGGTCCACATCCAGTGCTGCTCCTGCGTCCTCCATTTGTGATCCAGTTTTCATCACCTCTTCCTTTAAATATAGGCCCTGACTGGGACATGGACCTGTCCTAGGACCACACCAGCCACTTGCCACTGTCCCTGTTTACTTATCATGGACCAAAGGCGGACGTTGAATTCTGAAAGGATTCTGAAAACATGTTCTCTTTGAGGGACGCGTCAGTAATGTGGTCACAGCTGTCTCGGGCATTCGAGGTGGGGCCCCTTTGCCACTGTCCGGAGCTGCAGCTTGCGCGGCTCTGGTTTTGTGCTGTGGTCACACAGGTCTCTTACCGGAGACCATTGGTGGCCTGTGGAGAAGCAGAACCAGGCACTCACGTGTCCAGGTCACGCGTCCGCACGGTCTCCCTGCTTCTCTTCGCTGCTCCCTGGTGGCGCTGGTCGGTCCCTGGTGTGTGCCAGGAGCAGCAGACCTGGTCTGGGACTTGTGTGCGCTAGTGACCTAAGAAGTGGCTCAGTTCTGACGCCTTTCCTCATAGCCGACTCCTTTATAAATGTCCACTCCTTACTCGATGTACACGGGAAGGTGACAGTGCCCCTGCTTGAGTGTTTGAGAATTGTCAGGCACTGACTCATGATTTTCGGGGCTTTTAATTTTTCATGAGAAATGTATCAAATATTCACACTGTTTTCACTGACCAATTCCACTTGACAGGAGGCTTAGAGAATTGCTGACAGAAGGTCATATTTGGGTACTCCATCCTTAGCATGATGTCAGAGTGTCATAACAGCAGGGAAGAGGAGATGACCCAAGCTGTCCCATCAGGTCAAAGGAGTTGAGAGTAGTGTTTTTACTTATTTTTGGTTTTGGTGATGCTGGGGATCAACCTAGGGCCTGATCCATGCTGGGCAAAGTTTCGGACATGTTTTTGAAGAAAATCCAGTGACCTAAGTAAATGATCGAGAAGCAAAAGAAAAGGGCCACACACAAAAAACCTGAGATATTGCCCTGATTTTGTGTATGCACGTTATACTGTAGGAAGAGAGGTGCACAGCTACAGCCACACTGGCAGATGTAACGATTTCTGTGTCTAGAGAAATAAGACCAGAGGAAAGATCTGTCATGACACTAACGTTCTTACGTATGATTGACACAACAGCTGGGGACTGTGTTTTTCTTCTTTATCTTTTTTTTGGTACCAGAGATTGAACCAGGTGCACTCAGCCACTGAACCACATCTCCAGCCCTTCTTAATATCTTGTTTAGAATCAGGGGCCTGCTGAGGCTGGCTTTGAACTCATGATCCTCCTGCCTCAGCCTCCAGAGCCACCAGGATCACGGACGTGTGCCACCAGGCCGGCTCATTTTCTTATTTTCCAACTTTTCTATGCTAAATGGTAGGAAATGGGAGTATTTTGATTCTGACACTTTTTAGGTGAGGCAAACCGTCAGAAGTTAAAATGGTAAATCTCAACATGCTCTGAATGGACTCCATCCTCCTTAGGTGTAAGCACCGGGCTTCCATCACTGTGTTGCGTTTCTTGGGTACTTAATTCTGCTTTTTCTGGGTTGTGCCTTTTTAGGTTGTGGAGGAACAGAGTCCAGTCACAGAGCTGCACGTGCCCAAGCGCTGCCGTGTTCCTTTAAGGAGGGTGGGCCGTGCACCAGTGTCAAGATTTTTTGATGTCACTTGGGTGGCCTGTGCTCATGTTGCTCAGGAGGGAGGGCTTCTGATGCAGGGAGCCTCCGCAGAGGGTGCTTGGGGGTCCTCGTGGCGAGTTCAGACCCAGTAATCCAGGCTCAGCGGTGAACTGGCCCAGAGCAGGCTCCGGGAATTTGGGGCAGTGCCAAAAACCAAGAAAGACTTCTTTTAAATTTTGAGATGCACTTTCAGAGGGGGCGGTTTAGAGAAGCAAAGGAGTAAGACAGCGAGTGAGTTGGGTTTTCAGGTTCTGTTCAGCCACCTCCTCTGGGGGCGGGGGGGTTTCACCTCTGTTCACCTCACCTGTTTTCAGAAGAAAGACAAAGAGACCATGTGCAGCGTCCACACTGCTTCTGGGGGCACTGGGAGCCAGGGCTGCCGGCCGGGGTCATCCTTGTTTTTGGTTGGAGGGTGGCACAGGGACAGAGCGGGAACGATGGCCCTGCTGTGTGGCCTGACTTGGGGAGGAGAAGTGTGGGCGAGACTGGCAAGTCGTCCTGGGATGGGGCTGAAGTCTCTTCTTTCAGCAGAGTAGCTTAAAATCAGGACCCTTTCCACATGCGTCCCTTGTCCCCTCCGGGCACAGGCAGGCTGCCGTGCTATCCCTCCTGTGTGCAGGTCCTCTGTCTTGCAGGTCCTGCCTCCTCCCTCGGCCCTATCTTGGGGCGCAGGAGCTCCGGGGATCCTTTACACATCTGTTCCTCCAGGCTTCAGGACGGGGGGCCTGTCAGATGTCATTTCTCGCTGAATTGGCTCTCCTCATTTGGGCGGTTGGCTGAGGGGGTCTTCAGCCTTGGAGAACTTTTTTCCAAACCTGTTCAGCGAGCTTACTGGGTAGCGGGTGGGGACGGGAATGTTGTGCTAAGTGTTATTGGGAAAGAGATGCCACCATGTTTGTCCTGGCAGATGATCATTCTGTCACGTGTCCCTTTGGACACACCATGCTAAACCTGAGCCACGTGCAGTGCAGTGGCCCAGGCACAGCAGACACAGAGGGCATGTGGCCTGGTGACCGAGAGCAGCGGCCCTCAGTGCCAATGAGACTCTGTGACGCCTCGTTCCCTTTCTCAAGTTCAAAAGCCGAATCCGTGGGCTCTCCTCCCACTTCCGGCTGAGCCAGGGGACCATCTGACACTTCTCTCTTAAGAACTAGAAAGTGCAGTGGAAAATCGGCCTGCTCCTCCCGTTCTTGGGTCCCCCACGCGCTGTCTGGAGACGTGTCGTGTACCGTGTCCCTCTGGGGGCCTGCTGGCCTGTGCTCCGGTCCTGTCTTCACCCAGCTCTCCCACTGAGCGCCCGTTTCTGGAAGCCCCTGCCGGTTCTTTTGGGCAGTCTTATTTCTTAACTCTCCATCCCATGTTCTAAGGAATCTCTTGTACAAGTGACTCCCATTGCGAGTGGCGTCTTTGGGAACCCCCTTTTTGCTGCCCGTGGCCTTGGGCTGCTTTGTTCCCCTGTGGTTCCCGTGGTGGGGGGAGGGATGCTGGGGATCCTTCTCTAGCCCCCAGCCCACGGCTGGAGGCTGTGACCTTGGCTTCTTCGACTTCCTGAGTCCTTTTGCAAAGTCCCCTCTGTCCTGCCTGTGGCTGATCTGGATTCAGAAGTCGCCGATGGGGGTGCCTGTCTGATTGCCTGTGGCCACTGGGGTTGACCCATCCCTGCAGGGTCCCAGGAAGTTCTCTCTTTGCATGTTTTAAATGCTGGTTTTCTTCCGATCTTTCCAAACGTGAATTCACGACCCTTTAAAATTCCAGCTCTTTCCCACTTGCCTCCACCAGGTGACCAGGACCTTTTTACTCTGGGCTATCGGAAGGGGACGCAGCAGGGGCATCCGAGTGAGGCCTCCTCCAGACAGGGAGCCTTCTTGTGACTCTCGCTTTTGCTTTTCTCTGCAAGTTGTGACCGAGTTGGAAGAGTGACGAGCGCACATGGGTGGGGCTGGGAGAGAGGGGGGTGAGGATCCAGGTCATCATCAAGCAGGACAGGGTCCTTGGGTGTGTCCACTGCCCTGCTGGGCCGTCCCATCACAGATGTGCCCAATGGGCCCTGCGGAGCCTCTGCAGTAACCTCCTCGTCTTTCCTTCTTTCCGCCTTCCTCGCAGCCGGGTTCCCCAGAGGGAAGGAAGGACAAGGAGAGCTCTGCAGCCAGTGCCCTTGGTGGCAGTATGGTACTCACCTCGCTCTGCCACCCCTGCCCTCCCATCTCCGTTCATTTTTATTTATTGTTTTTATTTCTAAATTTTTTTTTCCCAGAATTGAGCCCTTTTCTGCTCGTCCCTCCTCCTCTCTGTCTGTACTTTGTCATTGTGGGGTGCTGTCTCTTCCAAAGCATCTGTCATTCAAATGCACCTGAAGCCTGCTCTCCTCCGCATGTCGATCCTTTCATCGCGTTGCCTCCCTCATCCTTGGTAACTGCCTCTGGGACACTTAAAACCTCACGGTAAAACCCTTTTCTTCTTCTTTTTCTTCTTTCTCCCCAGTCCCTCTCTGTCAAGGACTAAAACAGTCTTGCGTTAAGTTAAAAACCTGTGACCAGAAGTGCCGGAGACTCTGGGAACACAAAACTCCGACAAGATGTAGCACAATTTCTTTGAGAACAAAACAAACTGCAGACGCCTTAGCCGCTTTCCACCTAAGAAGCTCATTCGGAGAAGGAAAGACCCACCGGCGTCTGGTGCCACTGAGCCCGGGGTGCGGCGGTGGCGCGAACGGCTTGGCTCTCCTTTCTCTAGCATTGTCTCGAGTTAAACCACAGAACACTCTTGTAACCCCAGCTCAGGTGTCAGTCGCCGCCTCTGCCGTCCAGAGAGCTGCCCGGTGTGTGTGGCCTGTGTCCCCATGACCGCAGTCCCCTTGGCTGCTGGCCTTCAGGAGAGCGGAGCATCTGAGGGTGCACCTTGATGCCTTGGTCTTCTCCTGCCCCGCGGCCCCGCAGACGCCTTCGTGGTCCTTTCCACACGGGATACTGTTCAGTTCCCCGTCCTCCCTTTTCTTTTTGACATACTGTTGTGACATTCCCTCTGTGAAGTACCCAAGCTGCTTGTCTTCCACCAAAGAGTGCTTTATTACCAGAACCTGTGAAAGCCACACCTGCACACTGTCGCACGCTGTCCCACCCCGAGGTACTTGGGCCACCTCAGACTTGCCAGAGAATTTGAATGGAAGCTTTAGACGACTCAGGAGGAGAAGCTGGTGTCCGAGTTGGAAGGCGATGGCGGGTCCTTCCTTTCCGATGTCATTTAGGGACTGAAGAAGTGGAAGGCTCTGCGCTCCTGCGTGGCCCAGCCAGGCAGAGTAAAGTAGTGTTTTCCTCTAGACATGAAGAAACAAGCCCGCATGCACACACGCACGCACACGCACACTTGCACACACACGCACGCATGCACACGGCACACATGCACACACGCACACACGCACACACGCATAGTGGGGCTTTGCCCCAGGAAACCGCCATCTCACATCGTGGTGGCTTTAAAAAGAAAACTATCAACAGGTTTTCAGAGTCTTTCTGAACCGCCGTGGGTTTTCCTCCTGAGCCATCGGGCCGAGGCCGATGTTGTTTGGGGCTTCAGTAGTTGGCAGTGAGCCCCTACCGCTGCCTTTGGTCAGGGAGTCCAACAGTAACTGTGCCTTGTCCCCTCACCTCCTGGAGCACCACCACGGGGGCTGTGACCGCAGCAGTCACACAGTTTATCTGCTGCTTAAAAAAACGGGGCCCATGAAGAACATTTTGCAAGCACCTTCCCTGAGGAGCGAGCGCTTTTCCTCTGTGGTGACCACACTTTCCTGGCTAGTCTAGAAAGGGCGCTATCGGAAGGCGGCTCCGAGCACCACCTTCCTCCAAAGACCAGATGAATGTATGGAGGCGGGATCCCACGCACAGAGCAGCCTTGCCCATGAGTGGGACGTGGGACAGGATGAAGTCATCGAGAGGTGGCTGCGCCTGTTGCAGGGTTTCTGCCTTGGAGAGAAGCGTGGCATGTACAGGCACTGAGGGCAAAGGTAGGGTGCCAGTATTTCCACACCCAGTCCTGTCAGGCCAGCTTCTAAACCTTAGGGACTAGGTCACAGGAAAGCAGTGGTTTTCTGTGCCTGGAGGCAGACAGGCCCAGGAGCTGGCTGGGAGGAGGAGCACCCGTGGGCTGAGGCCAGGCTGAGCACGCCAGGAGTGGGCTGCAGTGTCTCAGGGACACCTTGCCAGGGCCACCTCCTCCCCAACTAGCCACATGCCCATCTGAATCAGGCTCTCTCCTGCAGCAGAATGAGCATGCATCTACCCACATGCTCCTACCAAGCTGGCCCCTCGTGTGGGCAAGCCAGCTGGGTTTGGGCCAAAGCCTTTGGTGACCACAGCGCTTTCCTCTAAGTCGCCTTTTTGTGTCGGCCTCTCAGCTCTCCAGCTAAAATCGCTATCACTGTGGCTCTTGCCAAACATCCCTGTGTCACTAGCTCACTGAAATGAGTCCGAGGCTGCTTTGGAAGACACATTCCTTGGGGTGCCAGGTAAGCAGGGCCAGGGCCCAAGAAGGAGCTCATAGCAACATTACTAAGCTTTTGGGGACATGTGTAGGATCCAGAAGGCTCTGGGTCTGACCTGCTGTGAATAAGAGCAAACCCCGTCCCACCTGAAACCACAAAACACCCACATCTTCTGGGCCTCCAATTTGGGGGTCCTGCTGAAGACCCTGTTGCTGTGGAAGATGAGGCAGTGCTCATCAGGCTGAGCAACGAGCGAGCCTTAGATAGCTTTGAGAGCACACCAATCCCGCTTCCAGGGAAAGTGAAATCAGAAACAAGTATTGATAGGTGCCCTTGACTCAGATCATCAAGAGTCAGGGAGAGACCCGGGGTGGAGTGTCTACAAAACTGGGCTCCTGGAAGTGTGGACAGACCCATGGAATACCAAGACAGACTCGAACCCTGCTCCCTACAGGGGACAGAGTCACGGTGAGCCATGCCTCATTCAAAGGTGGCCTTACTTGCCCAGCGTGGCAGCTTTACTTGTCTCTAGACTTTTCTGGTTACGAGCTTGAGCCTTTCACCTCCCCCCATCTGCCCCACCCACCCGCTGCCCCTGTCCCGGGGTGTTTTCTACCTCTTGGTTCAGGCCCAGACTTGTCTCCGAGGTCTTCCCAGTGTCCCCCTGAGGCCCTCGTGCCTGCTCTGGGGCACATTGTGGGCCTGCAGGCCACGGGGGCTGCGGGTGCCCTGTGCCAGGAGTTCTGGAGCCTTCTCCCCTCTGTAGAGTGGCCGTCTGTGACAGGTGAGCAGTGTGCTTACCTGATGTTCTAGAAGGACCCAGCTGCTGCTCTCTCTCCCTGTTATCTTCCCTTAGTGCATTTAAAAAGCAATGCTCATCAAACTTCCACCTTAAAAACATGGAATTTTCCAAATAGTTCTTAGCAACTGAGATGTCCTGGTGAGGCCCCTGCTGCTCCTCCATTTCCCCCGCCTCTAAGTGGAAATACTAGGGACATGTCTAAAAGACTGGACAGTTCGCCCATACTGTGTAGGACATTACCTCCTTATCACCCTTAGAGAGTACTGCAGTTTTATATTAATTATTTGCAGACTTTTACCTAATGTGCACTCATGTACAGATTATTAAAAGTTTTAAAATATAACTGATTAATCAGTATTTGAGCAATCATTGTTTTGATTTTTTTATTAAAATGTATATTTCTAATCATATTTTTTAAAGCTGAGAGAACTGGTTGAATGTTTATTTTCCTGACGGTATTTTTAAGATACAGCTTCATAATGGCCTGCAGACTTTGCATATATATGTGGTTTGATACATACTGTTGCATTTGAAAATCTTGTGTATTGGAAATGGTTTTATACGAAACACTGAATAGTGGAAATTGTACAATTACAATCGTGTAATTAAAAGTATTAACCAAAGAGGCTTCCGGTTTCTTCACTTACTGAGCATTCTTTCAGGGTAGCCGGTGTTGGAATATAAAGCATGCATGTGTACCCTTCTTTGTTGGTTTGTCAGGGCCACCAAAACAGCTCCACAGCCGAGATGGAGTCCAGAATGTCCTCTCTCCCAAGATCAGGGTGTGGTAAGGCTGGGTCTGTCCCGAGGCCACCACCTAGCTGGGCCCTCCCACGGCCCTCCTCTGCCTCCCTGTCCCTGGTGCCTCTCTGTCCTCATCTGTAAAAGCCCTCTCCAGGCTGGACTCGGTCCTACCCAGTGGCCTCCGTTTCCTTAGCCCCAGACACAATCAGACCTTAAGGTGCCGAGGGGTGGGCTTGAGGGGACTTAGACTTCCGGGGACACGGGAGTAAGACAAGTGGGGACTCCCGTACAGAGTCACTGCACACACCCTCCCCTTCCAGGAGACCAGGACATTAGGGGTGTGGGTCACAGGCGGAGGCCCCCCTCATAGGAGCTTCTAGGGCTGGGCAGGAGTGGTCCCGAGCCCCCTACGCCTGACCTGTCACCCGAGATGCCAGCCTCCATGCCATTTCCCCACTTCCCTCCTCATGGTCCCTCGCTGGGCAGGATCCTAAGACCCAAAGCCCCCACCTCATAGAGGTTGTGTCCAGAACGTGGGACACTCCTGAGTCCTGTTCTGCTCCCCAAGGACCTGGGCTTTGCTTCACACTGGGACACAGATTTTCAAAGTGAAAATCACGCAAACCTGTCTCCCTGCCCCCCCAGACTCCCGCACTTTGCTCTCCAGGGTGGGGCAGCAAGTGGCTCTGTCCTCTGTGCAGAGCTCCTCATCTGCTTGTCCCCCTACAGTGTCCCCTGGGGCGTGTCGGGTGACAGGCTGTCCTACTGACTGTGTGGCACATAGCTTCAAATAAATTTGCCGTGAATTTTAGGGAATTGTCTCTAGACGTCAGGTAAAGATGGATTTTGTAGCAGGTGTGGCGGCTCCGGATCTGTTTTTCCCTTGTGTGTCCATAATGCTGTTATTTTAAAAGAAACAAAATATTTTGACTGGAAGGGGGACGTCCATTCAGCAGAGGTAAGTCTCTTGTGAGTGGTTTGTGCACAGACCAGGCCGGGGGTTGTCAGCAGGTGGACGCGCCCCTTGGTGAGGCTCTGTTGTTGAGATGGCAAGTCCTGGGTGTGCCACCTATTCTGCCACCTTGGGGACCTGTAGTCTGCCTCTGAGCCTCACCTTGCTCACCTGTGGAACTGGCCAGTGAGTGTCCGGTTTGGATTACAGGAAGGGCCTGCCCAGGGCGACTGGCCTCGGCTCTGTCTTCCCCTCCCCAGGCGCCTGTGGGCACTCGCGGGTCACGGGAAGGAGTTCTCACCCTTTTCCATAGTGTCCTACGACAGCATTGTCTGCCTTTTGGCCATGTGGTGGCTGCCCGCCTTCCTGGGGATAGCCCTGTGTGGATCTGTCCTGTGTCCGTGTTTCCTGGGCCAGGCTGGTTCTTTCCTGGGGTGAATTGTGACAGGAGAGGTTTCTGGGTCACAGGCCGGGCATCAGAGCGCAGTTTGACACAGTGGTCAACATGGGGCGTGGCCAAGCCCCACTCCGCCCACTTGGTAGCCTTGTGGCTGGGCCCTGTCACTCCCCTCCCTGACCTTGCTTCCTCTTGTCTGAAGTGGGGTGACATTGTCACTCTGCCAGGCTGTATGTGGAGAGAGCAGGACATGGGCCCCAGAGCCGAAGGGTGGTGGGCCGCTGTCCTGACCCTCAGCTGTTTCATGATCTGGTTTGGGACACTTTGTGACCTAAGAGGCGGGCATGGTAGGGCCCTGGCGTCCTCTCGGTATCTCCACCAGCTTATTAGAGGAAGTGGGTCCTCACGGGTGAACCCTTCCCAGCTCCTCCCCCAGCGCCCTCCCTGGGGACACTGGCCCGGGTGGACATGGAGGAGGTCTACCCTGCGGCTCACCGGCCACCTCGCCCCCACCCCGCTAACTGTGCCTCATCTCTTTGCCAGCAAGTCTGCATGACTGTGACGAGTTCCTGGGTGACGAGTGCTCTGACCACGGTGGAAACCCCAGGTGAGGAGGCCCCTTAGGGACAGGCTGCCTGCCACCAAGGTGCTGGCTGTGGCCCTCGGAGTCTCAGAATGGCCACATGCCATCTTTTAAAATAGAGGTTTGGGGTGGGAAAGAGGGAGGTGGCATGGTGTTGAAAACACCGTCCCACCCTGGGCGAGTGGCTCTGAAACAGGCCACTTCCCACGCAGGACGGTTCCCTGCGTGGGACTCTGGAAAATGTGGCAGTCGTGGACCCCTGCCTACCTGGCGCCGCACATCCCCAGCCAGTGGAGAGCGACACCCCCACCCCTTCCCAGCCAACTTCACGGGCTGCGCTGTCCCCACCTGGGACCTGCCAGTTGGCTTCAAGTGGAGAATTCACGGTGCAAGGCCGTGATGGCCACAGCAGACGTGCTCGGGCCCTGCCGGAGGGACTTTCCTGCCCCGTTCTGGTCCAGCCCAAGCCCGGTGGGCAGAGGAAGGGCAGAGGAGACTGAGGGTCCCCGGGCCCCTGGGGCACCTGCCTTCCTGTCCTGCCACAGCCTGCACCCGGGGTGGGGCAGCCCATGTGTGTCTCATCCCCGGAGGGAGGTGTCTGCTGTCACCCAGCTGGAGCCCACACGGGACCCCTGTGCTGGCTGGGTGGCTGCGTGTCCTCAGGAGCCATTCGGTGTCCCCTGGCATTGTGGGGCAGGACAGGAGGGGAGCTGACTGGTGGCCGCCCGGGCCCTCTTTCCCTTGGAGCCTTCTGCTGTGGCCAGGAGTGTGGCCAGCCTTAGACCCGTCCCCACCTGCCGCCCCCTGAGACGGGGCTCCGATGGACCTTCAGCTCTAATTGTCCCCTCCCTCTCCTCCCAGCAACAGTTGGCTGTCTCGGGCTATCACCTTCCTGGACCGGCTTTTAATGTGGCTGGGTATCCGCAGGGACTAGACCTCTAGAGACCGTCTCCCGGACCCCGTGCTGCGGTTCCCACTGCAATTGAAGCCTGGGCCCCAGGCCTGAGCCTCAGCCTCCACCACGTCTCTGCCTCCTGCTTCTCTGGGTCGGACCGCAGCCCCGCCTGCTGGAGGTAGCCTGTGGCACGACTGGGTGGGGAGGCCCCTGTCCAGCGGCTGCGCTTCTCGAACCTGCTGACTTGAGGTGCCCCTCTGCCTCCTTAGCACTGTGCCAGTCTCTGAAGGACGCATTCCACAGGCCCACTGTGGCGTCCCTGGCTGGGCACTGCCGGCCCTGGGGACACTGTTCATGAGGTGCCTGTGCCTCCCGGGGAACCTCTGTCAACTCAGAGCTGGGTGTGTCCTAACGGTCACAGAGTCCCCTTCCCCTTACCACAGGGTGTTCCCCCTCTGAGGCCTTCTGTCCACCTTTCCCTCTTACTGGCGGGTTCTCTGGTGTCCCATTCACTTCCACTCCCCAGAACCACCAGGACGACAGGTTCTGCCCAGTTTGCATCCTGAGGGTTCCGGCCTCACCACAGAGCCTTCCGGCCTCACCACAGAGCCTTCCACAACCTCCTCCCTGGTGCTCTGCTGCACAGGCATCAGCCAGTGTCCGAGAGGGCCCAGCACAGTTGCATAGGTTATTCATCACACAAGTCCAGGGAGTGTCATGCACACCACGGTTGACGTGACATGACAGTGTGCAGGGTGACTGCTCTTGAGGAAAGATTTGTCCCTGCCTCAGGATGTGAGCACTCGGTGGGTGGGGTTATGTAAAGTTGATGTCACCACATTGTCACATGACAGACGTCCCCCAATTCTCAAATGGCTTTGTGTGTCACAACTCTGGAGTCATCCTTCTGAACTGGGGACATGTTTGCAAAGAAACGATACTGAGGAGGCTGCCATCTGCTTCACTGACTGGACCCGCTCATCCCGCAGGGGCCTGCTGTGCCCACAGGACTCGTGTTCATCAGGGACGTGCCTGACACCTAGAGTCACGGGGAGCCTATGGCACAGGCAGTCACCTCCCTGAAGCCCTGGAAGGGCAGAGCGTCTGAGCCGACTCCCAGGTGCCTCGCATGTCACCTGTGCAGGAGTCCAGGGAGTGTCCTGTGCCACTCCTGGTCACGCCTGGTGCCACCCTGGCTGCAGGGAGAACCCGAGGGTGGGCCTGCCAAATGCCCCTGCTGCACCTGGTGCCTGCTGTGTGTCACTGGGCGGGGGCAGCCTCCTTTCCAGCCCCCCCCCACAGCCCGGGTCCCAGCAGGGGTGGGGGAGATGGTGTCCTCGCTGGCTACCTAACAGGCTTGTCCCCCAGCGGTCCCACTGCCACGGATGCAGGGCAGCAGGTGGGTGGTGGTGGCCCTGAGACCTGGCGTGAGCTCCAGGCGCAGCTATGTGCCGGGGGCGCCCCCACCACGGCTGGGTCAGGACAGAGGGTCTGTGGGAGCCTAGGGGTCAGGCGCCAAGGAAGTGTCTGGATGAAGTTGAGGTCACCAGGAAGCTCCCCACTTTCACCAGGGTTTTATTTAATTTTATTATTCAAATACTCCTGCTTGGAGGATCACAGGTTCAAGTCCAGCCTCAGAAACTTAGCAAGGCCCTAAGCCACTCAGTGAGACCCCGTCTCCAAATAGTGTTGAGAAGAGGGGCCGACGGGCATGGGGCTCGGGCCAAGCACCCCGGGTTCAATCCCTGGTACAAAACCCCCAAACCCCAAAATCCCACTCCTGGTTCTCTCCCACTCCCTCTTCCACACCAACCCCTGTCCCCGAGCCACAGCACTAGCGGGTCACTTCCAGCCATGCTGGGGAGGACTTGGGACAGAGCAGGCCCTGGAAGGTGTGGTCCTTGCAGAAGACCCAGGGGACTCCGCAGTGGGTGAGGAATAGGGCAGATGGGCCCCTGCAGAGGCGGTGAGCGCGGGAAGCACTGTGGGGTGGGCTGCTCCTCTCGGAGGACACCTCTGTTCTTTCCCTGTCTGAGCCACGGCCAGCTCCTCAG